TATCTGCCTGTGTATGTGTGAATACATGATGAATTTATGGTAATAATCTCAGTCCACTCTTGAAAGTGGAGTCATAACCCATATGAGGCATGCTGGGATCAAACAGTAGACCACCAGGTGACCCAACTCCAGAGCTAGCTCACAGGGTGGTTGGCTAGTAGTTTAAATTGCCATGTTCAATAGGTGATTAGTGATTTATATTGCAGTGACTGAAGGGACTTAACGGGCCTAGACAAGATCTGAACTGGCATCCAATAGGATAAAGAAAGGCCTTTCTAGGTCACAATGAAGTTGGGACTTTGCTGGGATTTTGGTGAGGTTTGGTCTCACCAACGATAGAGGTGACCATTAGAGATATCAGTGTCGACATCTAAAAGAAGCTGATTAAGTCAGGGTCTGACTGCAAACCTAAGCAGGTAAATTAATCCTTAGGTATATTAAGTGATATAAAAAGCCTTTGATTTTGTTAGATAATCTCTTTTCTTCAGATAGTATTTTCAACATAAACCTGAAAAGAACCCTATAGTAAATAAATATTATTTGCCATCCTTTTCTAGGAAAAAAATACTGAATTTTCTCACTCCTTGTGACTAAATGTGCTAACCTGGTGATGGAATATATGGAAACATTGACTCCTTATGAAAACTTGATGACCAGCATTCTGATGGATGCTTTACTTGTTATTTTATGTAATAAGAGATGGTTCCTTAAGGTATGCAAGGATTTATGCATCCTGATAAATGAGGTGAATTTGTAAGTTACAGTGATATTTTATCTATGTCATCATATGATATACACTCATACTTAAACAGCCTCAGAGAGAATTCACTGATATTTTCAATAATGGGTATGTGGATAGTAGAATCCCCTGCACAAAATGAAGGAAGGGTTTTCAAACTCCATGTCTCCTCTGAAGGACCCTATAGGGTCACATTACCTGGACTGGGAATCAATGCCTTGGTAAGGGAGCCTGGCCTTGAAACCAAGCCTTATATTCTATGTTACCTCATTGCCTCCATTGGCTTTTAGAAGTTGCAGTGACCTTTTCTAGGTTAATATGAGTATCTTTATTGAAAGAAAAGTACATAATAATTGAATGCTTACTATGTAGTCTCTACCAGGCAACAGGCTAACATCCACAGCAAGCAGTGCAAATGCTACGTAAGTGATAAGGCAGTTCAGAAGAGAGAAAGAGGAAAGCATGATCACAGGATGCTTTACAATAGAAGTACAACTTGAACCAAGTCTTAGAAAATGAGTAAGATCTGGTTTGATAAAAGCCCATGCATGGCAACAGCTTGAGGTAAAGGATGAGAATAGAACTAAATGTGGGCACCCAGAGGGGAGACTGAGTTGTATATGTTTTGGCGAGCAAAGCAGTGGAAAATAGGGTGGATTTGATCAGATGGGGCCAGATCACAGGGGGCCTCTGGAAGTTAGGCAAGTGTGTTTAAATCTTTCCTGATATTTAGTATGGGATAATTGGAAATATTTGAACAAGGTGAGTGGCCTACAAGTAATCTAGGAAATTCAATCTGGCATTCTGTCCAAGTTGGACTTGCACAGAGAACCTATGGGGATGATCAAGGAGGTTTCTGAGATATAAATTGAGGTAAATATAGGAGCCCTTCACCAAGGAAAAAGGAAAATTGTTAACAGGACTAACTTTATAGAGAGAGGAAAAGAAAGCTCTGAACTGAAGATTTGTACCCTAAGCCTCTAGGAAAATGGAGGTGATATTCTTTGTATAAATAAGAAAATTAGAAGGGGGATTCAAGATACAGAGAAGAAGCTATAACTTGGTTTTCACTGTGAGGCAATGCTGGAAGCCTAGTGTCTCAGAAGCATTGAGGCTCGAAATCAAACAAGAGCACAGGGAGAAGAACAGAGCTGTAGGAACCTGCATGTGACTCCAAGGGAAAAGGCTGTATCAGAAGGCGTGAGAAGGCTGATGTTCTAAGGGAGAAAGCACAGAGGGAAGAGACAAAGCAAGAGACAATGTGATAAAGCAAAAAGGACAGAGTGGGAAGAGAGGTGAAGTCCTGCCAGTCATAGACGTTTTAGCAGAAAAAGAATATAGTAAATTCCATTAAATGTAGAATGCGGAATAGAGGTAAGGGTCACTGTGCCCATACACGTGTGCGTGTGTGGGGGTGTGAGAGTCAACATTCATTAAAAGCCCTTGTTACATGCCAGGTATTTTTCTCTGAATTTTGCATATAATTTAGTTCTATCTTTTTAACCTGTCATTAGCTCAACTCTTCCTCACTATTTTGGATGCTAGGATATTTCACTTATTACTATTTTCTCATAATATACAAGCAATAAAGTGAATGAAAGGAATACATTCTGGAATACTTTTGTCTTCTGGGTAGGCTGGAAAATAAGCCTGTGCATCCAGGATCCTCCCAATTCGGATTTTGCCTCCCACTCAGCACTGTTGGCAGGTGCACGTGACTGCAGCTTTTTTGGGGTCACGCCTTTCCTGTCTCCCTGGAGCACAGTGGATACTCTTGATAAATGATACTAGGCACTCTGTACTTCCTCTTTCTAACATATTTCCCAATTTTCAGCACATGGCTTTAGATTTAATATCTGTTTCTCCTGAGAAAACGTAAGTATGGACAACTGGTGTCTTCCTCACCCCTGTATCCTTGGCACCTGGGGCAATGCTTGGCACTTACTAGGCCCTTGATAAGTGTTTGTTGAAGGAATTAATGAGCTCCTCACACCATCCACAAACTACATAGTAATATCCCTTGAAGGCCTGTTCGTTCCTCCAGTAAATGCTCTTTTTCCATCCTGTAATTCCACCAGGACGGCTCATCACCTGCAGTTACCTAGTCAAATGCATCATTTGTTGATCAGTGTCTGTTACTGGATAGACTGTGAGTTCCCTTAGGGTTAGCGTGGGATTTTGGTCACCACTCTCGGGCAAGTCTCTGGCACACAGTAGGCCAAAAATACATAGATGCTGAACGTGGAAGATGATTACATTCATTATATTTGAAAAGAACTAAAACTTAAAGAAATAAAAACAAATGTCTAAGGTTATACAGCTAGCAGAATCATGTTCAAAATCAACTCTAAGTCTAAAGCTTGTTATAATCTTTCTTTCTTTCTTTCTTTTGTTTTTTTTTTTTTTTTTTTTTTGAGACAGAGTCTCACTTTGTTGCCCAGGCTAGAGTGAGTGCCCAGTGGCATCAGCCTAGCTCACAGCAACCTCAAACTCCTGGGCTCAAGCAATCCTGCTGCCTCAGCCTCTCGAGTAGCTGGGACTACAGGCATGCGCCACCATGCCCGGCTAATTTTTTCTATATATTAGTTGGTCAATTAATTTGTTTCAATTTATAGTAGAGACGGGGTCTTGCTCTTGCTCAGGCTGGTTTCGAACTCCTCACCTCGAGCAATCCACCCACCTTGGCCTCCCAGAGTGCTAGGATTACAGGTGTGAGCCACCACGCCCGGCCCTGTTATCATCTTTCATTTTCCCCTTACTAAATCAGAAGCACAGAGCAGACTATTTGATTTGCCAAGAAAGAAGTTATTAGTTCCCTTAAAAATAGTAATTTTAATATAGGCGTGAGACATTTTTTCATAGGTGAAAGCAGGGGTGAGAGAGGAAAGGCATTTATGGGTGAGTGTTTAGAGTATGGATTTGTGTTGAATGAGCATGAGCTTATCTCATTCTGTGTGTGTCTGTATCTTATGTCTGACAAGGGTGGGGAGAAGACGAGTGGAAGGCGATTGATAGAAGCTCAAGTTGGCAGTGAAAAATCCATGCAGTGCAGACAGTCAATGTTTTTCTCTGAAGTGCAATTCACATAGAAATGGTGTAAGGATAGTCCACTGCCCCAAACGTGAGCAACACGTTTTCTTTTCTTCCAGTAGAATTGGGCACATTCTGGTTATCTGGAGCTGGTGTGTTAGTTCTCAGTACCTTTTTCATGTTAATATTTGAAGCTGGTTGTTTTATGAGTTTAACTTTTTAGTGAAGTTTATAAAGAAAGGCTTTTTGAAAAGTACTTGTTTATCTGCCATGTAAATATTTAATATTAACGTTGCTAAGCCTCGGGTTTCTAATTTGTAAATCGGGGATATTGATAGCTAACTCTACAGCCCTAAAGAGAGTCATTAGGGTTGGAAATCATTTTAGTATAGTCCCTAACAGAAGCTGTAATGTACCAGGCACTCAAAAACTAACAGCTAACATAAGTTTGAGATAAAAGTACAGACGTCAATATTTCTTTTTATGACTTTTTTCTTTTATCAAATATCTTCAAATATTTATTAAAAATCCATGTTCTTTACATTTCATAAATTCTGTGCTTCTTGGATAAAAGAAACTCTTTTAATCCCCAAAGAGATTATAATCTCTAAAACATCCTGTCAGTGGCCTAGGCAGCTAAATTGGGTTTCTCGTACAAGAGAAGAGGTAGGAGAATGCTTTTTAAATTTGAAAAATAATATTATGAAAGATTGCAAAGGTCTTAGAAGATAGTTATAAAATTTAAAACAAATCAAGGTAAGTTGAAGAAATGTACATTGAAAACATGGTGATCATATTCATGGAAGGAAGGAAGGAAGGCAGAAAATTTGGAGAGGTTGGATAAAATAATTTAGAACGTAGAAGTCTTATGGACCAAAGTTGAAAATGAAGCACCCAAAATAGTCATATCACTTGCTTTTTCCCCTAATGAGGTGTTCTTGCTCCAGTTATCACTCCATAGAAAGTAACCCTAAAGTGGGTAAAATGTGCAAGAGAACAAGGCCTATGCATCCACGATTTGTTCCTTATTCCTCAGGAGCTGACTTTGGGTATATCTGCTTTTAGAGTCAATTGTTAGGAAAGTGTTTTATCACCTCCCAGTTGTTAGCAAACAGGACTCGCGTTTTGTGTATTTCAAGAACATTTCACAAAACAAATGGGAAGACTGAAAGCCATCTCATCGTTGCAGACCCCTCAGCTAATATGTTATCTTCCCCCTTCTTGTCTCCAGAGCCTAAAGTCAGCTGCAAATTAGGCCGGTCTGCGTCGACCTCAGGTGTGCCTCCTCAGTCCGTCGCTCCTCTCAGGCAAGCCAGCGACCTGCAACAGAGCCAGGTACCATCATCGTTAGCCAATCGTGATTGACTTCCTGTGATGCAACATGCCAAATGCTTCCCACCTCTGTCTGTCCTGTTGCTGTAGACAACTCTCGCATTTGCTTTTATTTTTCTATGTGTGTATAAGGGGGTGGGGGGAGTTCTGGCAGTCTGTGTTTTCATCCGAAAAAGAATGTCTTTCTTCCTTGTGACTGGTGGTGAAACTTTCTTTGCTGTTTGTTACCAAATCCGTTTTTGTCTCTGGTTTCCATCATTCTGTAATATAAATGTAGTAAACTTGTACTCTATGTATTGGCTTAGTGATTATTTTTTTTAAATTCTTTCTCTCTTCCATGTTTTGTGTACTTTTATACTGTCTCTGAAAATTTATCAGCACTTGATAAATTTATCTACTTTGTTTTATGCAGATTTCTTTTTAAATGTTTTGTCCACAACACTTGCACAGATGTTATCAATGAATTTGTACGTATCTTTTAGCTCTTATCCTATTATACTGTAATATTTGTGGCAATTTTACTTTTATTTTTATTTAGCTTGGAGCATGATTGTAAGACACTGTGAATATTGATGTCCTTATAAATATTCATATACCAACTCATTTGGATTGAATATGGCAGCTAGTCTTTATTCTTTCTTAGGCCATAGAGATAAACTAACTGACCAGATAATCTAGATATTTATCAAAAACTGTAGATTACTAAGTCAGCCTTTAAATAAATGACTTTTCTCTCTTACACCAACCATATCAGAAATGTTCTCAGAAAGGGAATGTAAGTGTTCATGCATGGTAAATGAGACCTCTATTATCACTTCGAGAAAAGAGACAAGAAATAAAGGCATAAGCTGAAATATCATTTAATCCTTTACAGTATAATATGTTGGTTGCTCTGATGCTCGTTTGGGTGCATGGTTGTGGATGGAGAATTTAGTATGGGGAAAAAAAAATCACTACACATAAATGTCCTGGCTGTAGCTTACCCAATAGTAATTCAATACATTGACTTAATTTGTGAGGCTTAATTGTTGTTACCGTTAAGTATTATGGGTGTTAAATGGGATGATGTCATCCTGGAGTGTTTTTTCTCTGCTTTTCAGCTTTAATCTTTGCATTCATGAAACTCTTCTGAAATAGTAAATTATAAAACTAGTGATGACACCTCCAAGGGAACTGCCCATTACTGATTAGCAAATTACATATTCATCAATTATTTTAAATGTCAGGCTATTTTAAAAACATAATTAAGCAGAATAATTGCATTTTTTTCCAATGAGAGACATTGTGTGTCTTAGTAATTTTGTCTGGCTTAAATATGCAAAGGATTTGATTTATGAATATATGAGATATCTACAAACACAAAAAGCGAGGGGCTTTTCTCAAGGGCATCTCAAGTGCCATTTGGAATTTCTTGTGTCTTCATTTAAAATGTTAAATGCCTTTATAACCAGAGGTAGCCAGCTCAAACACTTTTTGGATTGAAAAGAAGTAGAAACAATAGGACACTGAATAAACAAATGAATAATAACACAACCTCACTATGATAAACTGCCACTTTAACTGATGAAAGCTATTCCAGAAATATTATATTTACTAATATTTAAAGTTTAAAAACACTAGATACAGAAAGAAAATTTTAGCTATTTGGGAGGGGATTGCATTATTACTATCATTTTTTTTTTCAAGTGTATGTTCCTTGCTGTTACATTACCCTCAGTATCTCAGAGAAGTGTTATATTCTTTGTTTTAGCTTTTTTTCATAATTATCTTTATAGGTGTTTCATCCTAAGCCCCTTTAACTCGCAATGAAAGCAGGTCACTGAGTATGAACTTCCGGAATAGAGACAGGGGTTTGTGCCTTTGCGTTGTCGACTCTTTGCTCACCTGATGGGATGTTTTTCACTCTTCAAAACACAGCAACATGAGAAAGCCCCTGACGCCACTTATATGCCATTAGTTTCCTTACCTACTGACAAATTCCGACACACGGCCAAATTGTAGATGGCTGTCAGGCTATAAATTATTAACAGACGAGTGACCTCTGAGCTTCTCTTCTGTGGCTTATGACCAGTTGTATCATACACTTGCTCCTACATTCTGGAGATAAAGGGGTAAGCATAGCTCAGGTGAGCCTTGTTCTGCATTCATGTGACTTAGCATTCAACCAACCAAAGTTAACAAATACTTATTGAAGGTCTTTTTAAAATCTAATTTCTACACCTTCAACCATAGTCTTGACTGAGACATCGCTTTAAGTTACAACCAGTGACACTTCCCTGTGCAAGGCAGTGGAGAAAGACGTTTAACCTGTTTAATCTAAGAATGAATAGTCATATACCAGCTAGGTTATGGAACACCTAGCATGATTAAACAATCACCCTGGTCATTTTTAAAGCACTTTTTCCAATTCTGACATTCCTGGTAGTCATTAAAACCCAGAATTCTTAATAGATTAGTAGACATTTTGCTAGGAAATTATTGGAAAACTATGTGATCTGTTTTAAACAAACAAAAGCACTCAATACCCCCTAAAACAATTCCAGGCGTGCTTATCTATGCAGGAATCTGGCCTTAGGAAGGCTGTGCCGTGTTAGCCACATTATGGGATATTAGCTCTCATGCAGAGGGAACTGTGTTTCTTTTCAGATTGTTGTTCACATCCTATCTCTATTCAGTTATCTGGGACCTGCCTTGTCACTTACCACTTCATGTCATGGTTGGAGCTTTCTAAGAAGTGTTGGAGGTGGAGTTAGGTGGAAGTGCTTGACATTACTCCAGCAGAGAGGCACAGAGGTGGTTGATAGTGACCGCCTACCACCAGAATTTGTGTATGAACAGTGGAAGAAGATGTTAGGGTATCCATAGCTTGATGCAGTTCCAGAGTGTACTTTTGCACATGCCCAGATGTCAAAATTATTTTCTGGATACTTTAAAAAAAAAAAAAAAGATAAATGATCCAAAGATAGGGATGTGGGATCATGTATGTGTGAAGACTTGGGTGAAGGACTTAGGTGGATTTCTTGACAAGGACTGTGCCTGTTCAGAGGTGATCCTCCCGTGCCTAGCACAGTGTGGAACCCTCGGCAATCTTTTGTTTACTTACTCAACACGTCTCTCTACAAATGTTTTCCTCTCTATAGCCTTGTAAAATGTTATTCTCACATAATCTGCTTTTGTCCCTGTCCTTCAGTCCTTAACATCTCCAGAGCAGTGGGATAATTTGACTTGTTCCATAGCCCCAGTAATGCTCTTCCTTAAAGCTTTGAGAAGACACTGTACCAGCCTTAGGGTTTGTGAGTTCAGAGCTTTCATTGAACTTTCCAGAGGGCTAGGACATTTCCACATAAAACATGTGTAGGAGCCTGGAGCATGTGAGAGGAGGTAACAACAAGGGGAGGCTGCATGGAGCAACATTCTAGGGTATGAAATGAGGATATAGGAAGGAAATGTAATTTCATCTAGCCCCACTCTGACTAATGTAACCTTGCAGGCTGAAAGGCTGTGTCCTTATTTAATTTTGCCTTCAATAGGATCAAGTAGAAAAACAAAAACGAAACCTCAGGGCAATACATGAAATCTCTGTACCTTCTTCTCAGTTTTGCTGTGAACCTAAAACTGCTCTAAAAAAAATAAAGTAAAACAACAAAATAAAACACACCACAAAATCTAACAGTAGAGAAACTTGAGAAATATTTTCTCTTAAGAATCCTAAAGCTACCATCAACATGGATAGGTATTGTTTTGCCAACGCTATGCCTGTTTTAGTTGAGCCCCAATGTCCCATAGACCTAGCACATGTCTACTGTGAGGTTTTATCTGATCTTTGGGTACATTTTCAAGTGCTTCCCATCTAGAGACTGTTTTGTGGTTGACAGGATAAAGCAGTGTTGGGAAGGGGAGAATCACAAAATATGTGTTTAGGGAACATGTGCCTCCTGACTCAGTGTGACCAACGGGTCCCTTCTCTACCATCCGTTGCTCAAGTGTTCAGCAAATGTGTGTGTGTGTGTGTTTTGAGTGTGATATTTCAGGTCCTTCTATTATACCTGAACTGAGAACATGTTGCACATGCCATTTGTACACAGCTGATTTGATTGTGTGCTTACGGTTGTATCATATGATGGAAATGAAAGAAAAGCAGAAACAGAGCACTCAGAACCAAACCAGCAAAAGCTGACCTCACTTAATTAATACACAGCCTCCTGCTACCAAAGAGCATCCTCAAGGCTGTGCGGTAGATCTTACAAATGGCTCTTACTATTTGCTTCCTCCTGCATAAAAGTCAACCTTACATATATTTCCAAATACGGAAAGCCTAATAGAGGGACTTGGAAAGCCCCCACTAAGTTCACAATGCAATGTCAGCATCACGTTGAAGAAATGTTTACCTGTGCTAACTTCAAATTGTAAAATACAGTGTTATGTTAACAAAGATTATGTTACAAAGAAATTATTGTTATTTGTTATGAAAATGATATTTACCAAAGAGATTGGCTCTAGCCCTGTGAAATGTGTAATAAATTCATATTACAAATAAGAATGTCAGTGGCTAAATTCATCTATGGCCATGCATTAGGACACAGTTGCATTAAAATAATGCAAGTACAAAAAAAAAACATTATCTTATTGTGCTCTCTATGTCTCTATAGACTTGTCTGATTGGTTTGTAAAAATTAGGCTTTAGTTCTTTGTGGAGTTCTCTATAAGCTTTAATTTATGTCATATTTAATGAAGAAAATAAAATTTGTTATTACCTTTAAATACCCACTGAATCTAGTATTATCCAAAATGAAATATTGAAATTATTGGATTTCCACTTTCATACAAAGAATTCAGATGGCAGTAACTCATTGCTTTCTACAACCAACTTGCAGTATAGGCTAAGTAATTTTGACATATTATTTAGCCACTGCATGCTTGTTGACTTTTGTATACCTCAAGTGGCAGAATATTTGGGGGTCACCTTTTAAAGTCCAGTAGTCTCATGACCAATCTCTCAGTAA